ATGCGGGCACTGTTACCTTGTGAGAAAAGGCAACGCCCTCTAATTTAGTTACCTGTACCCAGGTTAGAAAGGGACGCGGGTGGCGCTGTGGGGTAAACCACAGAGCCTAGGACTTGCCGATCAGAAGGTCGGTGGTTTGAATCCCCGCAACGGGGTGAGCTCCCGTTGCTCTGTCCCTGCTCCTGCCAACCTAGCAATTCGAAAGCACCTCAAAGTGCAAGTAGATAAATAGGTACCGCTACGGCAGGAAGGTAAACGGCGTTTCCGTGCACTGCTCTGGTTCGCCACAAGCGTCTTAGCATAATCCGGAAGCTGTACGCAGGCTCCCTCGGCCAATAAAGCGAGATGAGTGCCGCAACCCCAGAGTTGGTCACGACTGGACCTAATGGTCAGGGGTCCCTTTACCCGGGTTAGAGAAGCAATAGGCCTTGATGTTGAACTCCAACTCCCATCAGCCCCAGGCAGCATGGCTCACAGTGAGGCATGATGGGAGTTGGGGTCCAATAGCACCTGGCGGTTCGACAGGTCCCCTGTCCTGTACTGGGACGGCCATTTTGTTTAGAGGAGTTGATTTTCTACCAGGTGCTGCTGGAGCAGGAAAATTTACCCCGGCTAAAATCCTTCCTTTAATGCAAAAGGGGCAGGAGAGTCCCTTCTCCCTTACACACACATCTGGTCACCCTAGTAGCTCTGGATACTGCCAAACAGACACTCCCAGCGCAAAGCCAGATCTCGCTCCGATTCGCCAAGAACTTGAGGTCAACAAAACAAGCTGTGAAAATATGAAATTGCAGCGAAGGAGCGTAACCCCTTAAGCTTCAAGAGCCTGGGTTTATCTGGGGCCATTTGGAAAAGAGAAGAGGGTCCTTCTCAGATGGGATAAACCTTTCGGGTTTCTTTTGCCCAACGTCTTCAGCTCTTTCCAAGGGACTCGGGCACAAAATGGAAAATGCCATTTCCAACACAGGCTTTCTCTGTGTGTGCATGTACAGCTGTTGACATCTGGTTCCAGATGTTTTCTTCTGCGGCAGCTACATGGAACAGAGCTCCCCCCCAAAAAGACCACACCCTGGCATGTTTTGTGGGACAGCCCAGGGGAATCGGGAGACACCCTGCAAATATTTACCATGTGAGAAAAGCTTATCAGCCCCTCCTCACAAAATATGGGGAGCCTATCTAAAAACACCCCAAGCCACCACTTCTTCTGCATTTTGGAATAGTGACTGGATGTTGTGTTTGCTTAAACCTTAAATATTTCTTGAAATTCCGCTGCTTCACCCAAAACACCCCCCGCTTCCATTTCCCATTTATCAAAAATAGTTTTGCCCCTTCGAGAGTTCAGGAATGTAGGAAGCACTGCCTTATAATACCGGGTTAGACTGTCAGTTATTCAGGCTCAAGATCATCTCTTCTGATGCTAGCAGTGGTTTTTGAGGGGTCTTTCCTGTCACCTGGTCCTTTTAACCTGGAATGGCCAGAATCTGAACACCTGAATCTGGGATGTTCTCCATATAAAGCAAGAACAGGGAACTGTTGCTGTGGTCTTCCAGTTGCACAACCTTTGCAACCCACCCTGTGTGTCTCTTGATGAAGAGCATATAAATCTTAATACACAATATCTTGACCACCAGCCGTGCGGACAGGGGCTGATGTGAACTGGACTTCAATCACATCTGAAGGCTGCGGATGGTTCATCCCAGCTCTAAGGATGCTTTTAAAATTTTATTTTAAAGGTATAAGTTGCTACCCTTCAACCTCCAGAATCCTCCCCGCTGCCTGCAAGGTCTGTAGAAATCAAATCTTAAGCCAGTTCATGGTGGTGGCAGCTCCATCTTGCCTGCAGAGCAGAAGCGTTAACAATTCATTGCACCCGGCCGAAAAGATCTCCTGCAGCGCTCTTCACTCTCTGCAGCTGGTCAGCTTGAACTGTCACTAACATTACACAGCAATTCTTATTTCTTAAAGACCAATACAGCTCTGTACATTTTGTACCTGTGCTGGATGGGTTATTGAGCAGCAAATTAACGCAGTGTAGAAATGGTCTCTAAAAACGCTATTAAAAAATTCCTTCCAGTAGTACCTTAGAGAGCAACTAAGTTTGCTATTGGTATGAGCTTTCGTGTGCATGCACATTTCTAAAAAATGCTGTTACAGTGGTACCTCGGGTTAAGAACTTAATTCGTTCCGGAGGTCTGTTCTTAACCTGAAACTGTTCTTAACCTGAAGCACCACTTTAGCTAATGGGGCCTCCCGCTGCTGCCGCGCCGCCGGAGCACGATTTCTGTTCTCATCCTGAAGCAAAGTTCTTAACCCGAGGTAATATTTCTGGGTTAGCGGAGTCTGTAACCTGAAGCGTATGTAACCCGAGGTACCACTGTATTTCCCAGTAACCAGTGTGAGCAGAGACGGCCATTGCCCAGGCACAGAAACTGGTACCAGATACAAAACTCAGCATGGTGAGGCTCCTTGCTATACCCTTAAAACAAGTTTCTAGTCCTTAAGCCTGCAAAGGAAGGCTCAGCAGCAACTGGCCAGCACTTGGCCAGAGTCTGAGAAACTGTCTGGGTACAGCAGTGCAGCCAGAGCAGTATCTCCCAATGGTTAACGCAGCAAAGTATTAATGCTCTGCCTCTTTCTCTGTATCCCCTACAAGTTTATACTTCAGCCAGATTATTATTATTCCCAATAAAAACGGTAACATGTTGGAATTGAAACCAGTTAGAAGCTGGTTAAAGCTAAACTGTGGTTAGCACACAGGAGAAAGTGCTGCTCCAGAGAGAAAGGGAGGGAATTCACACGGAGGGGCAAATTGGTCCTGCGTCCCCGTTCTTCCACTTTCCTTGTGTTCTTTGCAACATGGGTGCCCCTAATGCCTTTAATCCAAGATAAACCGTTAGGATGCCACAAAGCGACAGTCCAGACTCCACACATGCAACTGCGAGACATTCCTGGAACGAGCATTCCTGAGGCATGACTCCCTGCAAGTTTGGCTGAAAAGAATTTCCTGCCCTTTATAACGTAAGGAGAAAGGTTGCTCCCGGGGATGAGGCAGATATTTTGACAGAGGATGGGCCTGGCAAGAGGCCCCAGAGGCTGCCACTCGCTCCCTTCCCGTCTCCAAATAATCTATAGCCGGGGCTCAGCAAAAGCCACTTCTTTGCAGGCCGGCTGCGCTAATGTAAAATTTGGAGCTGCGCACAGAATGCAGGATAGTGACGTTGCAGTTCCAGAGTTGTAAGAACACTTTGCGCCAGCAGAGGCTGATCAGCTGTCTCAGTGGGATTAAGCTACCACATTCCTTCACTTTGGGAGGAAGGAAGGAAGGAAGGAAGGAAGGAAGGCAGATGCTAGCATTTTTCCTTCTTAAAGAAATCAGCCCTGGAAGGACAGATCCTGAAGCTGAGGCTCCAAGACTTTGGCCACCTCCTGAGAAGAGAAGACTCCCTGGAAAAGACCCTGATGTTGGGAAAGATGGAGGGCACAAGGAGAAGGGGACGACAGAGGACGAGATGGTTGGATAGTGTTCTCGAAGCGACCAGCATGAGTCTGACCAAACGGCGGGAGGTAGTGGAAGACAGGAGTGCCTGGAATGCTCTGGTCCATGGGGTCACGAAGAGTCGGACACGACTAAACGACTAAACAACAGCAACAAAGCAGATTTCCTGGCACTGAGCTGCAGAAAAGGTCTATGAGCAAGAACAGCCCATCTCATAAGGGTGAGATCATCACAAAGCAGGGAGGCAAAGCTGTGTGTCTATGGAGCCTCCCCCAGGAAAAGTCCACCCAGCACGACCCAAATTTTTGGAGGCAGCAGTGCCGCTGCTGCGGGGAGGGAAGCTTTGCTGACCCAAGCAGGAACAGAGCATCCCCACACTGTGGTTTAGCCGTTGTAAATCCGAGACGAGAGAAGCCTAAAAAGAAAAATTGTGCATAGGTCTCCGTGACCTTATTTTAAGTGGGGGGAAAGACAAGACACGGGGCGGGGGGGGGGGGGAGACAACTCAAATAAGCAAAGGGTTGATGCACCTTACCTTAAAATGCATGGGGGGAAAATTGAGGGGAATTTTAAACTGTGCAATAAGCTAAACCATGGTTAATGCTAAACCTAATAAACATTAGTGAAAGTCGAAGTGTCTGGCAGATGATCACTCAAAACTTGGTTTACTACAGCACAGTACAGTTAAAAACAACAGTGAGATCAGCCATTCCTTGAGAGCAGTTTGAATTTTTTGTTGCTCTTCACTCCCAGGTCTGGCTTGCGGATGTCGATGGCGTCTTAACCATAGTTCAGGGAGGAGGCCTGGGCTTAGAAGTAATGCTAAGCTTTGGTTAGTGACAACTAAGGTTTGCAAACTATGAACCACGGTTAACAAATGGCCTTTAGCCGTAGTTATCAAGCCAGAGTTAAGCAGGAGGGCTGGGGTTATATGTAATGCTAAACCATGGTTTGGCATTATGTGAAAATCAGTGTGGGTGGGTGGGGGGGGCAGTTAAGAGAGACATCACAGAAATTTACAGCAGGTAATCTCCAATCCCCCCGCCCAAATAATACTAAAGCCACTGAAGATCCCAAAGGAAAGGAAGTACAGTATTTTTCGCTCTATAAGACGCACCAGACCACAAGACACACCTAGTTTTTGGAGGAGGAAAACAAGAAAAAACATATTCTGAATCCCAGGAGCCAGAACAGAAAGAGGGATCGCTGCGCAGTGAAAGCAGCAATCCCTCTTGCTGTTCTGGCTTCTGGGATAGCTGCGCAGCCTGCATTCGCTCCATAAGACGCACACACATTTCCCCTTACTTTTTAGGAGGGAAAAAGTGAGTCTTATAGAGCAAAAAATACGGTGAATTCCCACATAATTAACACTGTGTTAGATACCTGAATCTTGCTGTTAAATGAAAGCTGGATTTTACACCCAGTGACACATGCACAGTCCTGGAGGAAATTCCTTACCCTAAAGCCTTGTGAGAAGAAACAGGAGGAGGGAGAAGCAGAGGGGTCGTTTTGGTGTATTATTATTATTAACTTAAAACACCCAAATGAATTTATTAAATCCAGAGTCTGTTATTAGGATGTAATGATGAGAAACGGTGTTTTGCTATCTTTTGTTCTGATCATCAGCTCTCTTTATGAAACGGAGACACAACTTGGAGGAAAACTCCTTAATAACAATGTCCTAAATACCCGCACAATGGCATGGAGGTCACAATGATTACTGGTTTGAGTTTTGCTTTTAAACATAGAGATTTACGGAGGGGCGGGGGGAAGTGGGTGGGTGAGGTGAGGTTTCTCTCTCATGGATACAGCTTATCACATCGAACTCCACCAACATTTCAAGCGGTCTTCCTCCCACCCCACCCCGGCCCCTCCCGAAAACCCGCCCCAGCCGCGTGTTTACTGGAATAGAGAATAAAACGCTTTGGACCCTGGAGGGCCGAAGCAACTCTGCTTGCCTCCCCCACCCATTTTGCTTTCTGTCCATTATCCAACAGTGAGAGTGTCAGGTTAGGGATCTTAAAAAATAAACACGGGAGCAGGTTAATCTTTCTTCTTCTCCTCCACCGTTTTCGAAGGGAGTGCTTCGGCCGCGCCGTCCGGCAAGCTCGCCGAGGTGGCTGCGGGAATGTCGGCGGCTCCCCTCTCCGTCGCTGCTGTGGGGGCACCGTTTGCCGGGCCCTCCGTTACCGCCCTGACGGCCCTGTTGGCCAGCACTGCAGGGCCACCGTCCTGCTGAGCAACGCTCGGCGTCGCGGTCCGAGATACTTGGTCCTCCCCGCTGATCCCGAACTCGTTGACGCGGGTCGGATCCACCCGGTAGATCCACCGCTGGTAGAGGTAAATGAAGAAAACGACATCTGCGGGAGGAGGAGGAGGAAAGGCCAGGCGTTACAACAGGGTAGGAGAGAGAGGGGCCCTTGGGCTCGGAGTTCTCCATAGATTTGTCCAAGGATCACAGAATTGTAGAGTTGGAAGGGACCACGAGGGTCATCTAGTCCAACCCCCTGGAATACAGGAATTTTTGCCCACGACTGGGATTAAGAGGCTCATGTTCTACCTACTGAGCTATCTCAGACCTCTTAGAAGCCAATTTGGCACACTTTTTATATCTAAATAAAATTATATATAAATAAAATAAATGCAGGAACCTGTAATCATAGGGCAGCTGTTTATCAGCTCCATCTGATAGGCAGGCTGAGACCCTACCTGCCCACAGACTGTCTCACCAGAGTGGTGCATGCTCTGGTTATCTCCCGCTTGGACTACTGCAATGCGCTCTATGTGGGGCTACCTTTGAAGGTGACCCGGAAACTACAACTAATCCAGAATGCGGCAGCTAGACTGGTGACTGGGGGCGGCCGCCGAGACCACATAACACCGGTCTTGAAAGACCTACATTGGCTCCCGGTACGTTTCCGAGCACAATTCAAAGTGTTGGTGCTGACCTTTAAAGCCCTAGACGTCCTCGACCCAGTATACTTGAAGGAGCGTCTCCACCCCCATCGTTCTGCCCGGATGTTGAGGTCCAGCTCCGAGGGCCTTCTGGCGGTTCCCTCACTGCGAGAACCAAAGCTACAGGGAACCAGGCAGAGGGCCTTCTCGGTAGTGGCTCCTGCCCTGTGGAACGCCCTCCCATCAGATGTCAAAGAAAAAAACAACTACCTGATATTTAGAATACATCTGAAGGCAGCCCTGTTCAGGGAAGTTTTTGATGTGTGACATTTTAATGTATTTTTAATTTTTGGTGGAAGCAGCCCAGAGTGGCTGGGGAAACCCAGCCAGATGCGCAGGGTACAAATAATAAATTATTATTATTATATACAGAAGTCTGCACATTGTCCGGGAATCACTCAACAGAATCAAAGAATTGTACAGTTGGAAGGGACCACCAGGGTCATCCAGCCCAACGCCCTGCAACGCAGGAATCTTTTGCCCAATGTGGGGCTCGAACCCATGATCCTGAGATTAAGGTTCTCACGCTCTACCAAGTGAGATATCATTGGTTTGGAGTGGGCGGTCATAGAAAAAGCCCGCCTGAGATACACAGGAGGCGGGGTGGGAGAATACGATGAGATGCAGGAGGGAGAGGAATTACCGTCTCGAAGGCAGCCTATTCTGTACATCATGGGCATTTTGATGACGAAGGCAAACAGGTCGTCGATGAAGGTGTTGAGGGCTTTGTAGGTGAGCATCCGCCAGGGCAGGTGAGCAACAGACTTCAGCTTGTAGTTGATGAAGAGCTGAGGCGTCATGGTGATGAAGCCTGGGAGGGGGGACAGGGCAGGGCAAAACAAAACAAAGGAAGGAAAGAAAAGAAAAAGTCAATGCTGGAGTAGTTAACGCAGAAGTCAGCAACCTTTTCTGACCAGTGGGTGCACTTCCAAGTATTGAGTGTGTCCTGGGGTGGCGTGGATGACAAAACGCAAAATTAGAGACGTGGACATCCCCAGGAATCTTTTGCTTACTAGGGGAAGTCAGCTATGTCCTGCTGGTCCAGATTACAGCTGTCAACCTTTCCCTTTTTTAAAGGGAAATTCCCTTATTCCAAATAGGATTCCTCGCAAGAAAAGGGAAAAGTTGACAGCTATGGTCCAGATTGTGGAGATCAATTTACACACACACACACACACACACACACACACACACTGGCTGATTCTGTTGCTGTCTAATGGGCACTGGGAGCATTCCTCAGTACCAGGAAAAATATACAAGGTAGCCAAACCACCCCCACTCTCATTTCTGTTATTTTTTTATTGATTATAGTTTAGGAATTATTTGTTGTAATTGCAAAGATTGAATACTTGTTTAATTCTTATTTGCTGACCTTTAATTTTATTGTGTACTATTATATCCTAATGGATTATTGAGTGTTACCGTACTTTATTTAATAGAAGTTGCTTATTTTAAAGTCAAGTTTTTATTATGACATTTTTTGCATTGGCTCAGATTGTTAAAAGGTGCGTGGTCTTTGTTGTTTCTTCAACAAAGAAACCTGTAAAGCGCCTTGTGCATAGTAATATAGAAAGGCGGTATGCAATTAAAACGGAAAGGAAAGGAAATTTCACAGAAATTGCTTAGGAAGTTCCTGTGAGTTTTGCCCCATAACTTTCTTTCCAGAATAACTAGAGATTTGTTTTTTCTGTTTATCAAAAAAAGAGAGAGAAAGCTTTGGAGTCTGGGACAACCCTGGGTTAATGGGCGAAGGGAACATACCATATTTTTTGCTCTATAACACGCACCAGACCATAACACGCACATAGTTTTTAGAGGAGGAAAACAAGAAAAAAAATATTCTAAAAGAAATAGTGGATATATGATTTTTGTGGATCATGCTATGGCCACAGACATGTGATCTGACAGTGAGTTTGGAGTAGCCCAATGCAAAAATCCTGAGGATCCATGTGGATCCATGCTTTGTAACCACGGAGGAGGGAAGGAAGGGGAACCATGGATCCTCTGCTCACGACTGCAGCAGATCCCCCCCCCGCCACCCGCAGGCATTCGCTCCATAACACGCACAGACATTTCCCCTTACTTTCTAGGAGGAAAAAAGTGAGTGTTATGGTGCAAAAAATACGGTAATTCAAATGGAGCTGCCCTGTTCTGTATGTGGGGAGATGCAAGCTGCCACGCCACACAGAACGCTGCTTTAGGAATACTCCCGTTACTCACCGAAAGTCAGCAGGAACCCATAGAGCATGCTGAGAACCCAGGAGTACCAGCCCTTGTGCTCCATGTAGAGGAGGCTGTAAACAGCGTAGCAACCCAGGAGGGGGAAGAGGATCCAGGAGAGATACCGGAAAGCCATCTGCAAAGGTGAACAAATCGAGACAAGTTCAGAAGAAATAGGAAAGTCCACATTTGGGGAAATTAGAAACGGAGGGAGATCCAGGGGTGCCTGACTAGCCACCCACATGTGCAGGTGTGATGTGGTGTTGTTTTTTGGTTGAATTTGTTGTAACTAAGCATTTTAGTCTGTTTTCAAAGTTGCATTTTAGATTTTTGCAGTTTTCCCCAGGTAAAAAAAGATCAAAGTAAAGGGCCCCTGGATGGTTAAGTCCAGTCAAAGGCAACTCTGGGGTTGTGGTGCTCATCTTGCTTTTGGGCAAGAGAACCGGTGTTTGTTCACAGGCAGCTTTTCCAGGTCATGTGCCCAGCATGACTAAGCCGCAACGGGACACCGTGATGGAAACCAGAGCACACGGAAACGCCATTTACCTTCCCGCCACAGCGGTACCTATTTGTCTACTTGGACCGGTATGCTTTCGAACTGCTAGGTTGGCAGGAGCTGGGACAGAGCAACGAGAGCTCACCCCGTGGCGGGGATTCGAACCGATGACCTTCTGATTGGCAAACCCAAGAGGTTCAGTGGTTTAGACCACAGCACCACCCGCGTCCCTTAGGGTAACTAACTAACAACAACAATAGTAATGAAAACAACCAATTCCCCAGCCGGTATGCACTTGTACAAATCACCACCATGGAAAATAGCTCCCCTCCCCATAGTATACGGAGAGGACCTTCTCCTAGAGCAGGCGCTAAACTCACGTCATCATAGACTTTGGTAGACGATTCGATGTACGTCGATTTGTCTTTGAAAGTCAAGCGTGGGAGGATCCCGGCAATTTTGTTTTCCCGATCCAGCTGTTGCAGCATTATCCGAGGGAGGAAAGAGCAGAGAGGAAAGGCGTTAAGAGACAAGACTCGGAGGGAAGGGAATCCAGCGGACTTGAAGCAAATGAGGTGAAGCCCACGATGCAAAGGGAGGCAAAAAGTGTTCTCATCCCAGAACTGCTGATGTGCAGGAAACTAGGATTCCCAAATGCTTTTTTGACCCAACTCCATGTGATGCGGTTGTGGCAGGAACAGCTTAACCTGTTGACACTCAAATTGTCCCAGATCCCCGGCTTTCTCTGAAATAGCTGGAAGTCTACGCAGAGTTCTAAGCATCTTGCAGAAGCAACAACAACAAAAACTAACGCAACGGTTCTATTACCAAGAGTCTTTTTAAATAACTCTCGAGCCCTCATACAGAAAAAGCACAAGGGCAGGTGAAGTAAAGGACTGCTTTGCGCAAGGCAGTCAACATGTACTGAAGTTGGTTCTCAGGCTGCTTCGTAAAGGGATGCAGGGAATTCGAGGAGGGCAGGGCTATCAATGGCTCTTAAGTCGCAATGGCCACCTGGAACTCTCAATGTTCAGAGACACCATGCCACTGGATACCAGTTGCTGGGAAGGAACAGGGTTGTGTACGTGTTTCTGGCCCTGTTTGTGAGGAATCTGGTTGACCACTGGATCTGGGGAAGATGGGCTGCCGGGCTGATCAAGCGAGGCTTTTCTTTGGTTCTGAACGGCTGGGCTTGCGCAGTTACCCAAGTGCTTTCTCTTCCTAGTCAGTCACCGCCAGCTCACACCCAATCAGTTAGTTTCTTTCGCCCCAATTATTTTACACTCGCTTACATTGAGACAGGACCACATACCTCAAGGACCGACTCTCCCCATATGAACTGACTCAGACCCTGCGCTCATCATCCAAAGCCCTTCTTTGTGTGCCTCCACCATGAGAGGTCTGGAGGGAGGCAACACGAGAACAGGGCCTTCTCTGCAGTGGCTCCCCGTTTCAATTAGCCAGCCTATGGCCTTTTAAACTGCATGTTACTGTTTTGTTTGCTATTATGCTACATATTCTCATTTTTTTTAATACCAAAAACCACCCTGTGATCCTCCCATTTTACAGTGGTACCTCGGGTTAAGTACTTAATTTGTTCCAGAGGTCCGTTCTTAACCTGAAACTGTTCTTAACCTGAAGCACCACTTTAGCTAATGGGGCCTCCTGCTGCTGCTGCGCCGCCAGAGCACGATTTCTGTTCTCATCCTGAAGCAAAGTTCTTAACCCGAGGTACTATTTCTGGGTTAGCGGAGTCTGTAAACTGAAGCGTATGTAACCTGAAGCGTATGTAACCCGAGGTACCACTGTACTGGTCATTTGCCCAGCTAGGAGAGATCCTTTTGGATCTCATCCCTATTTTTTGTTTTGTTTTAAGTACCCTAATTTCATGTCATCGAAACAAGAGATGAGACGTGAGCAGACACCTTCATGCACTAACTGCCCTCCTTGTCCAGCTCTTACCCTGACATCCATAACTTTTGTGATCTTCCAGAGATCGATCAGGAGCCCAATGAAGACGCTGACTTGCACCACAAAGTTAGTTTCGTTGTCCAGGATGTAGAGAAGGACCACGAGTGACTGGAATACTCCAAAGAATACTGAGCGGACAGAGAGCCCCTCTAGGGACTGCCTGCTGTTCCAGAACTGAATATCTAAAAAGGAAGATGACAAACAGAGGTTTAAAAGGAAAAGAATGCTTTTCAGTTTTTCACTGAAGCTACTTCCCAATCCTCCAGTAAAAGGTAAAAAGATAAAGGACTGCTGGACAGTTAAGTTCAGTCAAAGGCGACTAGGGGGTTGTGGCGCTCATCTTGCTTTCAGGCTGAGGGAGCCAGCGTTTGTCCACAGACAGCTTTCCGGGTCATGTGGCCAGCAGGGCTAAACCGCTTCTGGCACAACTGAACACCGTGACAGAAGCCAGAGTGCACGGAAACGCCGTTTATCTTTCCACCTCAGCAGTACCTATTTATCTACTTGCAATGGCGTGCTTTCGAACTGCTAGGTTGGCAGAAGCTGGGACAGAGCAATGGGAGCTCACCCCGTTGCGGGGATTCAAACTGTTGACCTTCTGATCGGCAAGCCCTAGGCTCTGTGGTTTAGACCACAGTGCCACCCACCTCCCACAATCCTCCAGTACTGCTGGCTAGGCTGGTATCTGGCCAGAGGTGGCTTTGACTTGAAGCGCAGAAGGCACTGAGGAGGAAGACAGGCAGCTGCGCTAGAGCCTTGCGGCATCCTCCCCTGCCCCTTCTGGCTTTAAACAGGCAGGAGGGGGAAAGGGGACTGGGGAGAGAGAAGAGAAGAAGCTCAAATATTTTGGAACCTACCATTTTTGAAAGCGAGGAATTCGAAAATGCTATGTACAATGGAAACAATAATTGTCAACGCCAGAAGGTAGGGATTGGTTTCTAATAGTGCAACCTAGGAGAAAGGAAAAAAAGAGGGTATGAGAAAGACCGGCATCTCCAGGGCACCCCCAAAATATACAAAATTAGAAGCACGCCAGTCATATGTAACGTATGTACCATTAACTCTGGAAATGTACTCAATTCTGACCAAAGGAAGCCTCCTGATGTTTTCTCTGCTGTAGAAGGCTTAGTTCGATCTGAATCAGGTATACATTTCCAGAGTTAACGCTAATTGCGTGGCGAGTTCGCACTCCCCCCGGTGGAAATAATGACACAATTATTAAGGTTAATGGGCTAAAAAAGGTCACAACTTTATTGGTTACAGGTGGTGAGCAGTATTGGCTTAGGCCAACTAACCGACTATATCCGACTTCAGCCCGTCCACTTGAAGTCCGGAAAGGGTTAACCACCAGTAGGGGGAGTCCTGCTGATGCTCATCAACTAGGAACTCCCCCTGGGTCACAGTTAGGGGCGTGCCTTAGGCCCTCACCTCCCTAGGCTTCGGACAGTCACATCCCCCGGAATCCTTTACCGGACTACCCTTTAATATGCAGGGCAGGTGATGGCGCTGCCTCCCCTCTTCCATCTAGAGAACTATACCAGCTGATGAGCAGCAAAGAGGGAGATCCCCAGCCTCGTCCTGCCTTTATAGGGTAGGCCACGCCCCCTGAACCAGCCAATTGGCTGGCCAGGGGGTGACGCGGCCAGAAGCCCGCAACCCCAGCTCCTCTGTAGGGCGGAAGTGGCTATACATTACTTCTGGTAAACGAGCTACCACAGCTAATAGAGGGCCATGACAATTTGTGTCCTGAGCTTTGTAGGGCCCGTCTACCCATTTACTATCTGAAACCAAAGGTATGCGCTGGTTGCCGCGTGTGAGATTTCCCCCCAGCAACCCTACCCCCCCAGAAACAGCATCACTGCCATCACTCCCTGCTCACCTTCACGGAGTCTTGCTCCTCATCCGACTGCTCATACAAGTCCTCCCCCAGGAAGTTCCAGGGGGACTTGGTGCTCTGGGCAGCATACAGCTGCCATCGCCACAGTGACAGCGGGCAGAAGGACAGTCGGAAAGGAAGGCGCTCCAGTGTCTCGTTGATAGGGAAGTAGTCCTTCTGCAAGTTCCAGTAATCGTTGAAGTACAAGATGGGGTAGTAGTCGCCACTCACCGCGTCAAATTTCACATCTGAAACAAAGAGAGTCCAAAGGGGGGACGTGCTGTGCAGCTGGACCAGGATGCTGCCGAGAACACAGCGGAACGCAGAAAAGGATCCCCACAGCCCTGCACCCCAGGTGTCTCCCGCATCTGACAATTTCATCAATTTATGATGTCACAACAATGGCATTGCACCACGGCATGATTTTCTTTCAAATGAGCTGGCGGCTTGCACAAACATCCTTACACGTGAAATATCACTTTCAAAATAATTTTGTGCACCTTTCTCCATGCTTCGTCTGTCTCTGGGCTCTCCTCTCCCCTCAACACATCCATAAAGAGAACCAAATTGAAGCTCGGGGGGTAGATTAGCACAACTGAAAACTTCCCAACAACCTGGATTTTCAAATTAACCATGCAGGCTGCAAAAGTTGACCCTTTTTTTTCCACACCGGAAGGAATTTCCAGGCTGCGGGTTTCAGCCTGAGCTCGTGTGCAAAAGGGAACGTGCCACGGTCATGCTTTTATTTCTTCTCTCCCTGCTGCAACTGTATATTGTGACCCGGGCGGCCTGAGGAGCTAATTATCTGTTGTCCTTACATTGGTCCAGAGGCGGAGGAACACTGCCCTTTACCCATGGTGTGTGGTCATCCACAATGTTGATGGTGAGGTTTGGGTGCCAGTGTGAGATCACCTCCACGGGGCCGTAATCTTCAGCTCTCTGCAACAAAAGCGTAAAGGACTGCAAGCAGTTTCCACATCAAACCCAGCAGCAGGACGGCTGCAGATAGATACAGTCAAGGTTTTCAAAGCAATTTTGACCCTTATGCTGTCAGAAGGGACGGCTCCTATTCCTGCCGCAGCCTGGAAGATGTTTAGAGATGCCAAGGAAGAGGGCCTCTAATTAGCTGTATCAGAAGCCACGGGCTTGCAGAAGAAGCCAACATGCTTGACAAAGGCCTCTGGCTAGCCTTAAGCACAGCCCTTCTAAGTGGCAGCTGGAGGGGTCTCAGCACTCACTCTATTCAAAGCGACACAGGTGTGACCAGCAAAGCTTTATTCTGAACAGGGGTGGTGGAGGCCGGGCTAAGAGAGTCCCCACAAATTATAATGTCGGCTGCATGCAAGAAGTGAGGCTTAAATATAGCGCTCTCGCTCATTTGCCAACACCCCCCAAAGGCTGTATCTGGATGGCAGGGAGCCAAAATCAGCCCCAAAGGCGTTCTCTCCCCCCCCCCCATTACGTAAGAATTCATCTAGCCCAGCATCCTGTTCCCAACAGCGTGCAGCCAGATGCTTCTGGGCAGACCACAGGCAAGCCTCAACTCATCACTTAAAACATTTCCCCCCAGCATGAACCACAAAACCTCAGTTTGCAAAGAGCTCTTTTCCAGACCAAGCGTTTCAATAAAAACCCAGGCTTTTACTGTAGCGGTTTGTAATAGATTTCCTCCCTGCCTTCATCTCACCCCACCCTGCCCAATATTATCTTTCCAGCACTATAAATACACGAGAACGGTTCATGGAATTTCCCGCCCCCCACTTCAGAAGAAAGACGGCAGGTGGAGGGTTTCGGCGTATTATGAAGTGAGGAACTGAAAGGAATGATGAAAATAGTTCTGCAACATTAAGCATAGTGATTTGGCCACCAGTGTCGATTTGTGAGAGGCTCAGCTCTGCCAGAGAGCCTTGGGCTGCCAACCTCACAATCCGGGAAGGATGAATTATGGGGACAGAAAGAATGGAGGTGTGCTAGCCAGAAGCCCCGTGGGACTGTGCCCACTGGGAAGGGGGGGGGAAACAAACCTGTGACCTTGACAGCTAAAGGAGGACGGAGAGGGGAGGGCGATATGCAGGGGGTCTGAGATAAGAAGTAATTGTTACTTTTATCATTTCGGGATCCGCTTCTGTCTCCCCCGTGAGCAGATTCTTGGTTTTCTGGAACCGTCTGCGCTTATACTTATTTATCACTGCAAAGAAGAAAGGGGAAGGAAAGGTAAGCAGACGCAAAACACTACTGGCAGGTAAAGCTAGACAGTAGCATTATCCTGAACCTGAGAACTACAAGCACGTTTCAACCTCGGTTTCTATCGCTCACGGTTGTTGTTGTTATTATTTACTACATTTGCCAGTCACTTTGTACAAAAGAAAAAAATCCTAAAGTAAAACAAGTGCAATAAATAAAGACCTTAAAACGATGAACAATGCATGAAAGGCTCACCCAGCAATATGCTAGGACAAGTCCCATGCACCTCAGTAAAATATGAACACCATTGAAGGAGGCAATTACCAAAGGCCTGAGTGAGCGAAAAGGTCTTAGCCTGGCACTTAACAAGTGACAATGACGGGGCTGGGCACATCTCCCTGGGGAGAGGATTCCACAGACAGGGGGCCACCACCGAAAAGGCCTGCTCTCACGCAGCCACTTCCCACTCCACCCTCAGGTAGGGCACACAGAGAAGGGCCTCTGATGCAGAGGAGGGGGTGTTCATCATATACTCCTACACAGCTGCAAGAATACAGTAAAAAAAAAAAAAAAAAATGAGCAGCAGCAAACCCCTCTCTGCAAATACACATATGCCAAAAAGGAGAAGGAACAAGTCCAACGTAGTTATGGTTTTCTGTTTTTATGGGTGTATAATATCAGTGAATTGCTTGGTTCCTTCGCTCTCCCTCCCATCACTACTATTCTGTCCCAGGGTGGTACCACAAAAACAAAAGGTGAGTTGGCAGGAAATTTACAGATTCCCCGCCCCCCCCCCCCAGGAATATATAGCATAGGACCTGCAAAACTATCAGCTCAGAATTTTCGGTTTTCAGATGCAGACTTTTAGGGGTACGGAACATGCTCAGTGCTGCACTTAGCACTTGAATTTATACAAGATTTGGAAAGTTCCATTAAGAATTGCCTCTGCAGAATATAGGCTCTTGCTCATGGGTTCAAATACCCCCATGCCTTTTCCAGATGTTACAACACGCGCACACACACACACACACACACACACACATACTCTTCTTTGCTGAAAGCCAGCGGCATTTCCATAGGGCTCCAACCACTGAACGAAAATATACCGAAATGCGCGCTCAAATATGAGAGAACACACATCACGAACCATACTGAATTCCGGCGTGGGGAGAGGGGACCCCCCCCATCCATTATCATAGCAAATATGCACTGGGAATCTGCAACTCGCTGCAGCTTCCTAGCATGTGGCTTCCAAAGAAGTTTGCAGGATTGCAGTTCCCCGTCAAACATCACCGTGTTGACTGCACAGAAATGCACCAGCCACATAAAGGACAAGGCAGCCCCAGTAGCACTCAAGCCCCTATCATCGCTACAGGATGGTCGGAGGGAAAGAAAGAGAGAGAGAGAGAGAGAGAGAGAGAGATGAGAGAGAGGAAATGCATCACTTACTGGAATTGGGAATGGGGGCCTCAGTGGGGCAAGTGGCAGGATGTGAGAAGAAGGCGAGGAACTAGGTGCCCTGGGGGAAGGGGGGAGAACAGTGCTGAGTGCAGACATCTCTACCCACAACCACTGGCTGCAGACTCCCGGCAAAAAGAGAGGGACGGGAGGGAAGGCTTACTTCGAGACGTGTGGACCGTGGCGAGTCGCCTGTACAGGTTCTTCTGTTTCGGATCGGGGTGGAACCCGCTCTTCGTAAAATACACGTGGATGTACATGGAGCCGTTGTGCTGAACGCTCTGGAAAAAAACAACCAACGCGATAGGACTACTGGCCTCATCCATTTTACTGAAACATTGGGGGGGGGGGGACGCAACACAGCAAGGAGGTGATCAAGGAAGCCACAACTGTTGGACTAATACTAATAGTTTTATGTTGCCCATAAACCCTGACTGGGTTGCTGCAGGCACTCTGGGAGGCTTCCAGCAAAATATAAAAACACAAGCTCCCTCCTAATGTTAAGGATCCTCTGCCTTAAAATGTCAAACAGTAGCTTTGGTGTCTCCTTCCTTCCCCGCTTTGTCCCCCTAGCCCTTCCAAGCCTTCTCTGAGCACCTAGCATTTTAAAAGGCCAAAGACAGAAAGCTTCCCCCAGACCCGTCCTGTCCTGCTTCCTTGTCTTCCAAGAGGGCTTCACCATTCAAATTGCCAGAGCCAGTCAGATGTGGGGAACCTCTGGTGCTCCAGTTGTTCCAGAACTACAACTCCCATCCTCCTTGGCCATGGCTCCTGGGCCTGATGGGACTTGTAGTTTATAACATGTGGCAGGCATGAGGTTTCCCCACACTTGGGCTAGGGGCTTGGGTAAGACTTCTGAGGTGCTAGAATGGAGTGATGCCCCTATTTGCATTCATAAAGCATCATCACCACTTATGGCGTTTAAATCAGTACTGGACATTCAGACAGTGGGTCACACCAGTCTCTCTCTCTTAGCTCTATAGGTAAAGGTAAAGGGACCCCTGACCATTAGGTCCAGTCGTGGACGACTCTGGGGTTGGGGTGCTCATCTCACTTTATTGGCCGAGGGAGCCGGCGTACAGCTTCCGGGTCATGTGGCCAGCATGACTAAGCCGCTTCTGGCAAACCAGAGCAGCGCACGGAAATGCCGTTTACCTTCCCGCCGGAGCGGTACCTATTTATCTACTTGCACTTTGACATGCTTTCGAACTGCTAGGTGGGCAGGAGCAGGGACCGAGCAACGCGAGCTCACCCTGTCACGGGGATTCGAACTGCCGACCTTCTGATTGGCAAGCCCTAGGCTCTGTGGTTTAACCCACAGCGCCACCCGTGTCCCTCTTAGCTCTATAATCTCTTGTTAACGTAGAGGAACTATTGCCTCTAACATGGAAGAGGAGATGCTTCCTAGTCCAGTCCAGGCAATGTATTTCTTAAAGGACTTTTGCTTTTGGAGTCTGGAGATGGAGAGTCCCCTTAAGTACAGGCAGCCCACTGCAGACAAGTAGGGAGAAAAGTGAGGTCTGCAGCAGGGGGCTTGGCTTGTGTGCAGCTGGAGAACAGCTGGCCAGTGACATGCGTTGCTCACGCACCTCCGGAATATCTAACTCTCCGTAGTGTTCATAGCACCCGTCGGAATTCTCGCCACTGGTCCAGTCCCCGTAGACAAGATCCCGCTGCTCCCAAAACAACGCGGAGGTAGCGTTGAAATCTGTAAAGTGCTCATGCTCTGATATATAGACATGAAGATCCTGCAGGGAGAAGAGAAGAGCATTATTTGAGGCAGGGAAGCCTATATCATGGGCTGCAATAAAGGAATAAAAAGGTAAAGGGACCCCTGACCATTAGGTCCAGTCGTGGCCGACTCTGGGGTTGCGGCAATCATCTCGCTTTATTGGCCAAGGGAGACGGCGTACAGCTTCCGGGTCATGTGGCCAGCATGACTAAGCCGCTTCTGGCGAACCAGAGCAGCACACGGAAACACCGTTTACCTTACCGCCGGAGCGGTACCTATTTATCTACTTGCACTTTGACGTGCTTTTGAACTGCTAGGTGGGCAGGAGCAGGGACCGAGCAACGGGAGCTCACCCTGTCATGGGGATTCCAACTGCCGACCTTCTGATCGGCAAGTCCTACGCTCTGTGGTTTGACCCACAGGGCCACCCATGTCCCTTATAATAAAGGAATAGACCCAGGCAAATGTTCAGCTTCTTTACTGTTATGATGATCAGGGCTATGCATTTACTGCAATCCCTCAGCAGTGCGGGGGGGGGGGGGGAATCGGCTACCCAGGAATCACAGCTTCCATCCAGGAGAAAAAGCAAGTTTCCAGCCACCCTCATGGCTGCAAAGGTACACTGAAAAGCACGTGGGCAATGCCTGCTCAATTTTCAGGTGGTAGATGAGCTGCTGTGCAAGACTTCCAGTGGTGGTGACAGAACAAAAGATGCAATACGGTAAAACTAACAGATGATGCCGTGGAGCAAATGTTTTGAATAATTCTTTTTTATGTAATTGACAGACGAAGAATCGGAAGCCCTCTTTCTTTTCTTTTGTCTCTTTTCCCCCTTTAAAAATTTTGTCGCGTCAAAAAAGCTTCAATAAAAAATTTATGCAGTACAGTAAAACTGGCAGAACACAATACACAGAATGAGAGAAATTCTGCAAATCTGCTTAGCTTCTGTGATTTCTGCAGGCTGCAGTTCGACAGGCTGCAAAAATTTTATCCAGATCATACAGGCACGTAATTGTACTTTTACATACTGAGCGCATACTTGTTTACACTTTGCAAACTTTGGGGCCCAGCTAACCCAGGTTCCGGGTCACACTTACCATTAAAGTGTCTTTAGGAAAGAGATTGCGGCTGGGCGCCCTGGGTGCTCCGCCAGCGCTGGTTGGATCCTGTGGTGCCGGCCCACGACGGAACCAACTGCTGATGGCCCAAATGATAAAGATCCTTTGGGGAGGGGGGGAGAGAGAGAAAAGTAGAGAATCAATACAAGATGCAGTTATAAGCTGGCCGTTCCTTCTAGAGGCAGCTACTGCACAGAGAAATTGCTAACAGCCTCAACATTAAAAAGAAGCTTCCCGAAGATTTGTCAAATATCATAACTCTGCTTGTTCACAGGGGCCATAAGGTAAAGGTAAAGGGACCCCTGACCATTAGGTCCAGTCGTGACCGACTCTGGGGTTGCAGCGCTCATCTCGCTTTATTGGCCAAGGGAGCCGGCGTACAGCTTCCGGGTCATGTGGCCAGCATGACTAAGCCGCTTCTGGCAAACCAGAGCAGTGCACGGAAACACCGTTTACCTTCCCGCCGGAGCGGTACCTATTTATCTACTTGCACTTTGACGTGCTTTCAAACAGCTAGGTTGTCAGGAGCAGGGACTGAGCAACGGGAGCTCACCCTGTCGCGGAGATTCGAACCGCTGACCTTTTGATCGGCAAGTCCTACGCTCTGTGGCTTAACCCACAGCGTTACCCGCGTCTCTTCACAGGGGCCATACTCTGAACTAAACAAGGGGCTGAAGGGCCAGACACATTGGCTCCACCCCCTGGCTCCTTCCCCCAAAGGCCTCTCTAACCCCTTGCTCCCAAAATCAAGAGTAGCAAGTGAGTGGGCACAGCCCTCCCCTTTATAATGGAGCTCAGCTGCTTACTGAGAAGCAGGTAAACCAGAGCAGGTAAGAGATTTACCTGAGAGAAACTGGAGAGTTTTGCAGGTGAGAAGGGATAGCAAGAGTCTGTATTGCATGTATTGTCTCCCTTTTTCCCCCAAGTCCCTGGTGGGCATGGCAATAATGTGGGACTCTGGGTCAGAGGTTCTGCTGGGGGCACAATGGGAAGCCCTGGGGGCCTTAAACTAGAGAAACGGTGAGAACCGTACCATCCATACTAACCTTGCAAACAGTTGCCGGGAGGCTGCCGGCAACACCAACCTCCTTGGCCACTCCTTTGGCACCCACTTGCTGCTGTCCACGAGACTTTATCCCAGCCCTTTAAAGCCAGAACAAGCAGCAGTGGGGCAGCCTAACTATATTGCTCTCCCTTGCTGGATGACAGGAGTGAGCCGGCAGCAAATCTCACAGAGCAAGTTGGAGTTGATTCTTCATTAGCAAAACAGGATCCGCATACGAGTGTTGGGCCTAATGAACGCAGCAACCTATCACCGGCAGGTCTTGCCCCCATGAAGCAGTTGACTGAAGGTCCCCGCCTCCCCAGAGCTGTCTAAGTTCCCTCCTATCTTGGGTCTCCTCCAAGCAATCTGAGACTACACCTGCATGAAGCTATGCTCCGCCCTCTTCATGCCTCTTCTGATTCTGGGCGACCAGCGGGGAGGGGAGCTTATTGCAACAGGATGGGCAGAAACCTGTGGCTCTTCACCAGCCTGCTTCCTCTCCACCACTTGGCCTGCCTCCTCTCCTGCTTCTGGACTTCCCTCTGCCACAGACTCCCCCCCCCCCGATCACTAAGCCCTGTTACCTCTTCAGCTTCTGACACCTCCTCTTCCAGTCTTCTTCCTCTGACCACTCATTGCCATCCCACCACCAATCCCCGGGCTCTGAGCCTTCTTCCCTCGGGGCTCCCTGGCTGGTTCCTCCCACCATGCCGCTGTGTTCAACCATTCCATGACACCAGAGGGAAAAAATAAACACACACCTCTAATGGATCGGCATTATTTTCCTGCCCCCTGAAGCCCTCCGCCATGGTACCACTGCACTGTCCTTTCTCTTGGCTTGAACACAGGGAGAAAACATCAAGCCACAGCACTGGTCCTTCTAGCAACAATGATTTGCAGCAGCTCTCCAGGACTCAAGGAGAGTGGCTGCAGGAGAGAAAACCCCCCCCCCCACCAAATGCACCTCTGATACAGTAGTCAGCCATTTATACCAGTTTCCCTCTGGTTCCTACAAAAAAAGAGCTGGAGAAAGAGAGAATATGCATCTGGATCTCTGTTCACTGTGTTTAAGGGAAAGGGACCCCTGACCATTAGGTCCAGTCGTGGCCGACTCTGGGGTTGCGGCACTCATCTCGCTTTATTGGCCGAGGGAGCCGGCGTACAGCTTCCGGATCATGTGGCCAGCATGACTAAGCCGCTTCTGGTGAAACAGAGCAGTGCACGGAAACGCTGTTTACCTTCCCGCCGGAGCGGTAACTATTTATCTACTTGCACTTTGACGTGCTTTCAAACTGCTAGGTGGGCAGGAGCAGGGACCGAGCAACGGGAGCTCACCCCGTTGCGGGGATTCAAACCACCGACCTTCTGATCAGCAAGTCCTAGGCTCTGTGGTTTAACCCACAGCGCCACCCACGTCCCATACAGTTTCTGACATTGTGCAAACTGTGTTTACACTGTGTCAAATTGGTGAAAAGGAGAAGCTCAGGCTTCCCTCCCTCCTGCCCTTGCCCGTTCTTATTTCAACTCCAGCCCCCCCCCCCCAGTGTCCCTTTCTATTAGACTCCTTGCTTCAATGCTACCATCTGAGCTAACTCTGCTTCTGTGATATCCTTTGGGGAGGCAGCGGAGAGATACCATCAGCAGAACGGAATGTGGCATGCTAGGGCAGCACCGCCCCTCTTGATGTGCACCACTGTGAACTCCCCATGCATTAGATGATGCTCAGGGAGTTCAATCCGGTTTTGTGCAGCTGAGTCTCTTCCTTCCACCCACCACATGTCACATATGACATCAGGTGTGGGGCAGGTGGGTATGATTTGGGGAGCCTGGGGGGGTCAAATCTGCCCTGTGGGCTGCATGTCCACCAGCCCTGATTTAGATGAACTTGTGGTACGTGCATGCAATTGTAGCAATCCCTCCCCTCCATCCTGTGATGATGCACAAAACATGGCCATGTGGCGTCATTCTGAAAAAGGCACTCTGCGCTTCTGTATATTGAGAATACGCTACCTGTATGGTGGAGTACACTAGAGACTGGCAGAAGCTCTACTGAATTTATGGACAGTCAATTAAAACCACACACACAACACAGTTAACAAGGCAAGTCCATCAGCTTGCACAAGAGGCTTATTCTACTTCTCAGGTACGCTTGCTTCGGAATGTATGGACCTCAGAGACCCAGACCCCTGCCCTGGCGCCCTGCCTTGCATATATAAGCACGTCTGGTTCTGCAGACAAGCTACGCACGTCTCTTCCGGCATTCGCAGGCTAGTGTGTTTAAAATTATAGCTGAAGATAACCAGCCAACTGGGAAGACAGAACCACAGCACCGCTGGCTTCCGCTGCCTCATGAATCATCTGTGTAACTCACAAACCTTGGAGGGCCAGATAGTGTTGCCAGCTTCCCAAATCTGATGGAGGGGAAATGCAGATTCCTTGCTCTTCTCCAGACAATGACCGGTATTTCTTAATTTAAAATTCACGCACCCAAGAGGCAATGTCACCTTCCTTCAAGATCTTCCCCACCGCCCCTGTCAAATATCCTTCAGGAGCTTTCACAGTGCATAAACACACACAAATCTAGCCGGCCAATCAATCAGTTTTAAGCCAGGAGGTTAATTAGCTAAGCTGTTTCTGCTTCAGATTTGCCCTTGTGGGAGAAGAACCGGGTGATTCGGCAGGGAAGCTTTACAAAAATCTGATCCTTTTTTACTTCCTTTTTGGCCACAGGTGACTCACCAAGACATGTGCGGCAGGAGGGGCAGCAATGCCTGTGGAAAGCCTGTTTTCCTGGGTTGTCAACAGTTCTGAATTACCAAACTCAAAGAATGGAATCATTTATTCTATTCTGCGACTTCCTCTAAGGCTCCCCACTTAAAATGGGCCACAACCATCTGGGAAATGCTGAGCCCAATGAAGGGTGGATTATTTCGTTCAACTTCAAAGCAATGTTCTGGATCAATTTCAGCAGCCGGGGTGGGGTGGGGGCCTTGCCAAGTAAAGATGATTTATATTTTTTTTGCATACCCACAATTTTGGAAGTGCATTACTGCAGCATTTGCCCATTTCTGGAAGAGGGAGAACACGCCAGCGCCGAGCCCGTTCCAATCTGATTTGCATTAATAAATGGAAATGTTTTAACCGTTCTAATCATACGGAAGCTCATCGCTCAGCTGGCACTGAACAGATGCCAAAACGTTTTGCTGACACAGCTCAAAGAGCCAATATAGCATCCCAAGCAATAATGGCTTTGGAAATGGCACAAACTCTCTCTGCTTTCTCTTTCCCACCTGCTCACCTTGCTCTTCAGGGGACACTTGAATGCGTTAGAAAAGGTTGGCTGCTGCTAATGCTATTCGTGGGCCGATTTTGTTGGGCAAGTGGCTAGATGGCGAGTGGTACGAAAGGAGCAGTATCTGAAACAGCATTACTCAATTTAGTCAACTCCGCCCTACCCGAACAACTTATCTCAGAGCCCTCTGGAACCATCTCATGTCCTGTGAACAGCGTTAGAAACTCAGATACCTAAGCTACTTGCCAAATGGCACCTCAAACCTAGGTTATGGCCGCCACAATGATGTCTAGGTGCCATTTTCTGCGCCCCCTTGGATTACAAAGCTGAAAATGAATTGTGTATATTGTCAGCACGATGGAGATGTCAGTCGCCATCCTGGTGCCCAGAGATCTCTGCATGTTTACAATTGGACCCACGCTAGGTGTAAAATGTGCCTGGCACCCAGGGGATTTCTAGCACTGTCCTTGGGCGGCTTACAGCATATCTAAAAACATAAAACATCCAGCATTATAAACCTCCCGATACAGGGCTGCCTTCAGATGTCTTCTAAAAGTTGTGTAATTCTTTATCTTCTTGGCATCTGAAGGGAGGGTGTTCCATAGGGAGGGCACATTTGCCTGGCTGAAGCTGCTGCTCTCTATTTGCTTTGATTCCCATACCAGCTGTAACTTTTTCCCATGCTTCAAGCTTTGTACACTCCCGGAGTACCATAAAGGAGAGGCCAGATGGGGAACCAACCACCACCATGACCAGCAAGAGAGAA